TTGATGTCTTGACTAATATATTTGGAAAGCATGCCTATTTTCCTCTTAATGTGATCGAGTTGAACTTGATATTATTGAGTTGCTCTTTTTTTGTTATTATTATATTGTATTGATGTTGTTGGTTATATTGTATTGATGTTGTTGGTTGTTGGAAATGAGTATTGGACCTTGCCGAGCTCGTCACCGCTTTCAGCCCGTGGTTAGACTTGCTACTTATTGAGTACATGTGGTCGATTGTACTCATACTACACTCTGCACTTCATGTGCAGATCCAAATATTGTTTATCGTGGTAGCTGCTAGTGAGCCAGATCCAGACTATTTAGAGATTTCGAGGTAACATTGTTATTCCGTTCGCAAGCCTTGAAGTTCCTTTTCTTATTTCATGTTATTACTATTTAGTCTTTTGGATAATATAGTATCTGACTCAGACCTTATATTTACTTATTCTATAGAGCTCATGTACTCGATGGCATCAGATTTTGGGATGGTTTTTAGTTGTACTGTGATTTGACTTCAGTTATTTATATTATTCCGCATTTAAGACTATTTAATATTGTTATTTAAGTTTATTTATGCACATTGGTTGTTGGCTTTCCTAGCAAGCGTTACTAGGCTCCATCACGACTTTGGTGAAATTTTGGGTCGTGACAAACATCTCCCAAAAACGTGTTGTGTAGCTCTTAAAATGATAATATAAAGTCTAGGTCCGAGATGGGCTGTAAATAAGAAAGCTAAAATTTTCTATAATCTGCCCAAGCACTAACACCACAGTTAGCGCGTCGCCTCCCCCTTGGTATCCCTCTCAGCTTCTGCAACCAAGGGTGGTCGCTTCGCTTCCACCCCAACTTCAAAACCTGACTGCAATTTTTGCGGTTTTGCCATCCCAAAACTACCCCCGAACACCCCGAAACTTACCCAAATCCCCTAGGACCCCGTCCAATCATTCCAACCAGTCTGTATACCCTATAAGAATTGTCCAAGGGCTCAAGCACATATAAAAATATCACAAATAAAACTCAAGATCCAAATTAAAATATGAACTTTCTTAAGTTCTTCAAGTTCCAACGTTCACAAGATACATTCGAATCATGCCCGAGCCCCTCTGGTGCTAAGTTAAATATACGTACAAGTCCCAAATCATCATATGAACCTATCGAAACCTTCAAATCACCAATCCGAGCTCATTAACCTAAAATATTAATTTTGGTCAACTCTCTTAACTTCAAGCCTCTAATTAGGAACTAAGTGTTCCGAATCAATCCCGAACCTCTCGGGACCTGAACCACTCATACTCGCAAGTTGTAAAATACTAAATGAACCTAAAAAATCTCAAATAGGAAAATATGATCCTAAAACTCAAAATGGTCGATTGTGTCATTACACAAAAATAATAATGTCAACTTATAGAGATGCTCCTAATACAATTTGGATCACAAAATCACGAAATGAAAGGTTAGGTTGTTATAGAACATTGTTAGTGATACGTAAGTCCTCCATAAACTAAGAAGTCTTCTTCTCTGTTGGTGATGCGCAATCATAAATCAAGAAGTTTTCATCTCTAGTCGCAATCCACAAGTTTTCCATAAATCAAGAGGTCTTCCTCTTCAGTGGCGAGCCTCAAGTCTTTCATAGCTTCACGTTTGTAATCAAAGTATGGCTCAACATTTATGGTCAAATTCAACCAACAAGTTTAGTCCATCAATGCAAGAACAAACACTCAAGCCCCTGCGTTGACGATGGTGAGGAGAAGAATTAAAGGACTACTTCTTTTGTCTTAAAATAGTCTAAAGATTGTAACTCACACAAATTATTAAAATACAAATATTGTTATTTGTTGTTATTTTGTTGTCTTGATTATTTTAATTTTCAAATGCAAAATTTGGTGTCACAACTTCAAAAGATGAAAGCGAAATAATCAATATAAATATATTCTTTACCATACCAACCTGAAGCTTAGCATTACAAAAAAAAAAAAAAAACATAATAAGATTTCTAAAAGAAAGTGTTTAACTATATTAGGAGATTTACATGATGAGCAGTCTTATGAACAAAGAAATACAATTCTCATAGTTAATGATCATAAGTTAAACATTTTTTCAATAGGTATTTTTCATGAAAAGCCGACATGAGATAAAAAATCCAGTGTTTTACTTAGATTTTGAATAGTGGTCCCGAATGATACACAGTTAAAGAGGCCGATCATGAACCCTACAGATGTGGGAGCGATCTTGGTCAGGAAAAGTGAAGGCCCAACTATTGTTTCATCAATTTATTAGTTCAAGAAAAAAGGATAGGTATAGAGACTCTCAAATGACTAAATGGATAGGGCTGCGACCTATTTTTGATCTTGTAGAATTTGACTAATTTTCTCAATGAACGAAAGGCACGAAATAACTCAAATTGATAAAAGTACCATGTAAAATTTTCAATTTTACTCTTCCTCCATCCCTATAGATTTAGGGAGCAAAAGGGTGCAAGTTTTTTGCTAAATTAAAATGAAATCATAAGTAAGGTCAAGCTTCTAGGGTGCAAGTTTTTTGCTAAATTAAAATGGAATCATAAGTAAGGTCAAGCTTCTTCAAGGTTGAAAGGTCGATCAATCTTTTTAATGTTTTTAATTTTAATTGATTTATTCTTTGTCATATGGCACTTAAATAAGATTTTGGACAATATCATTACCCTCTTCATGCTTTTTTTTTTATGGGTTAAATACGTGCATGTTAGAAGAGTGACGTGACTTAGACATACCTAGAGAAACATTTGGTAAGTAAAAGATTGACTGTTAAATAAAGGTGCGCCAAAGGAATTTGCATATAACCTGAGGGGAATAGTATCTATTAAACCATTAATATATATATTTTCACTCTTATATCACTTAACTATAATAAGTTAACAATAATTTGATGTAAATATCGAATGCACGTAGTCTTACCTTGATCAGAATCTACTCAAGTTTATATTTAGGTTAATCGGACCAATAAATAATAAATATCGAATATCTAAAGAAAAAAAAAAGAAAAAAAACTGTTTCTCGTTTTAAACAAAAGGAATGAGTGTACGAGTGGTTTTATATAGTACTGACATGAAAAAGTAATTTTTTTATACTATTATACTATTCAAAAAGTTAATCAATATTCTCTCTGTTTTAATTTATGTGAACCTATTTGATTGGTCTTGGAGTTTAAGAAAAAATAGAAACTTTTAAAATTTATGGTATAAAATGAGGCACATATATTTTGTGTGGCTATAAATTATCTTCGAATATGAAAAGGGATCATTCTTTTTGGTACGAACTAAAAAAAAAATGTTCACATAACATAAATTGAAAGAGAGAGAGAGAGAGTACTAGATACTTGCTGTACTAATCGTGAAAAATAAGATAGGCAATGTAAAACATGATACGTCAGTCAAGTAAACAAGTAATATGCTCGTCTCCAAACGGAACGACGTCACTTTTGCTTGGCGATTATCGAATCATAGTTGGTATCAGTAATTGACTATAGAGACACTATAATAGCTATCTCCATTTCCTAGAGGCTAGAGCATAGCTAGTTCTGTAAGTTCAGCACAAGGAATTCCTCTAGGGTTTAAGGGACCCCGATACTCGAACCCCTTTATCTCCAATCCTCAAAAAGTTTTTGAAGTCAATAATCTGATGGATAGGCACAGAGGAGGAGAGAGGTATGTGAATAGCAACAACAATTCAGACCTATTTCATTATAAGCAGCATCACTCAAGAGGGGGTCCCCCATCTTCTAGAACTAATTTCTCTGATGGTTCCATGAACCCTCACCCTCAACATCATCGTCGAAGCCCTAATGCATATCGTGGGCCCCGCAGCGACCACGGGGCTACCTTCGATAGCCTTCCTCGCTACCCTCCGATTATTGTTTCATCAATTTATTGGTTCAAGAAAAAAAGATAGGTGTAGAGACTCTCGAATGACTAAATGGATAGGGCTGCGACCTAGGTTTGATCCTGTAGAATTTGACTGATTTCTCATTGAACGAAAGGTATGAAATAACTCAAATTCATAAAAGTACCATGTGAAATTTTCGATTTTACCCTTCCTCCATCCCTATAGAGTTAGGGAGCAAAGGGGTGCAAGTTTTTTGCTAAACTAAAATGGAATCATAAGTAAGGTCAAACTTCTCCGAGGTTGAAAGGTTGATCAATATTTTTAATTTTATTTTTTTGGGTTTATTCTTTGACATATGGCACTTAAATAAGATTTTGGACAAAATCACTACCCTCCTCATGCTCTTTTTTTTTATGGTTAAATACGTGCATGTTAGAAGAGTGACGTGACTTAGACACACCTAGATAAACATTTGGTAAGTGAAAGATTGACTGTTAAACAAAGGCGTGCCAAAGGAATTTGCATATAAGCTGGAGGGAAATAGTATCTATTAAATCATTAATATATATTTTCACTCTTATATTGCTTAACTATGATAAGTTAATTTAATGTAAATATCGAATACATGTAATCTTACCTTGATCAGAATCTACTCAAGTTTATATTTAGGTTAATCGGACCAATAACAATAAATATCGAATATCTAAAGAAAAAAAGAAAAGAGAGTTGCTCGTTTTAAATAAAAAGATTGAGTATACGAGTGGTTTTATATAGTACCGACAAGAAAAAGTAATTTTTTTTATATTCTTGTACTATTCAAAAAGTTAATCAATATTTTCTCAGTTTTAATTTATTTAAACCTATTTGATTGGGCTTGGAATTTAAGAAAAACTAATTTTTAAAAAAATTTATGGTGTAAAATGAGATACATATATTTTATGTGATTATAAATTATTTTTAAATATAAAAAAATATTATTCTTTTTAATACGAAATAAAAAGGAAATAACTTGAGGTAAATTGAGAGATTAGTAGATTCTTGCTTTACTAATAATGAAAAATAAGATACGCAATGTAAAACGTGCAACGTCATTCAAGTAAAGAGGCCACTATTATTATAATTATATAATAGCTAGACTAGAATAGAGTTCTCCATTTCCTATAGGGCTAGAGCACTAGTTCTGTAAGTTCAGCACAAGGAACTCCTCTAGGGTTTAAGGGACCCCGATACTCGAACCCCTTTATCTCCAATTCTCAATAAGTTTATTGAATTCTCGAAGTCAATAATCTGATGGATAGGCACAGAGGAGGAGAGAGGTATGTGAATAGCAACAACAATTCAGACCCATTTCATTATAAGCAGCAGCACTCAAGAGGGGGTCCCCCATCTTCTAGAACTAATTTCTCTGATGGTTCCATGAACCCTCACCCTCAACATCATCGTCGAAGCCCTAATGTATATCGTGGGCCCCACCGGCCCGCCTTCGATAGCCCTCCTCGCTACCCTCCTACTGATGCGGTTGCGGTTGCTGTTGGTACTGGTGGTGGTGGGGTTGATTCTGGAAGGTTCCATTCGAATTACCAGATGCCGCCACCGCCTCCTCCACTTTCGGGCCATAAGCGGGCTTACCCGTTTTCTTCCGATACAAGTGGGTCTCCAGGTAATTTTTTTTGTTTTCCTTATTCCCCAGTGTAATTTGAACGTGAATTATTTTGTATTGGAACGAAAGACATGAGTAGAGCAGAATGGAATATAGAGGATTTTGTGTGGTGGAGGCAAACTGATTTAGGCTTAGTTGATTGATTGATGGACGGGTACATCTGAAATTCCAATTAATTATTAGGAGTATTAGTTTTAACTTTTTGGGGTTTCAAGAACAATTATCTTGCTACTATGGGTGCACTTTCATTTTTTTCTGTTGTGCTAAAAGAAGATAAGTTAAGTCCGATTTTATTGAACTTCATTGCGCATGCTCGAAGGGGAAAATTACTGATATGTTCTTCATGATATTGGTAGTTAAGGGCCTTAAGGCTTACAAAAACCTTAAAAAAATGATATTGGTATTTTAGGGCATTATGGCTGAGGTTAGAGTGTGTACCTTTTATCTTGTACTTTATTGGATTACGGTTAAATTCCTATGGTGTAGCCTCCAGTTTCTAGGAACTATAGAAGGAGCATTGTTCATGATGAATGAATAGCCAAGTTTAACTAATTTAACTAATTCTCTAACCTTCTTACTGGTACTCTACCAGTTTGTCATTATGGCGTCTTACGACTCCTTAAACGCAGAAAATGTCTTGTTTCTCTAAGTTAAAGCCAAGTTAGAGCCCCTAGGGCCTTGGTCTAGTGATAAGAGTGCAGTGCGTGATGTGCAGGTTAGGCACACATGACACGTTCGGATCCAGATTAAAGCGTGGTACTTAAGTGGAGAAGGGTAGAGGAGCGGGCCAATTGGCTTTGGAGGATTTCTCGGTTATAAGAGTAGATGTGGCTTGTGTAAGTGGGCTTTAGAATGGTCATCTAAGCCAAGAATGTGCCTTGCATGGTGAGCCAACATTATTTAGTGTGCCCTAACACCTCGAGCCTGAAGGGTATTCTATGTTTCTTAGAAATAGCTCTCAAACCGTTATATTATTCAAATGTCTCTTCTATACGTTCTAAATTTCAGGCCTCTTGATATTTTTAATAGGAAATCCTTTGTGTATACTGTGGTAGTTACGTGTAGGCATACTTTATCAAGGTTGCATGTAGGCATATTGTTGGTCAACAGTGGGTGACTCAGCGTCTCAACTAGAGCCATTTACGCATCTGATATGTATATTTTTGACATTAGTTGGTGTTTATTAATGAAATTTGTTGACTAAAGAGCTAAGGCGTATTGCTTGGTCAATGTAATGTAGATTCTGTGTTCCATTAGGGGAGTTCTTTGACGCTTGCTGTTTTTTTAGTAGTATATATAACTAACACCTGATAGGTTCTTTAACTGTTCCTTCTCATTGTCCTTTATCCCTCTCTTTGTTGTGTTGGTTTATACTTTGTGCTTGCTGACTTCAACTTTCTTTTGAGTATTTCACAACTTCCATTAAATATTCTTTTAATGTATTCATTGTTATCCATATTTTTAGACGGAGTTGATGAAGGTGGTTTTGCCAAACTTTTTGTGGGATCTGTCCCAAGAACAGCAACTGAAGAAGATGTAAGTCCTTGTTAATGCTTAAATCTGGCATTTGTTTTATTTTCCCTCTTAGTTGTTAGTAATCATAGTAAGTGACTCTAGCATTTAGGATTCTGGTTCCTGCTCTATCTGCTTCTCCTGATCATGCACCTCACATTCTCTACCATTTTTCTCTATGTTTGCCTCTTATATCTAAAATGGAAAGGGACTCAGTTCTTGTGTCAGCAAATAATTGACCTTGATATCCTGTCAAAGAAGGAAGAATAGACTAATGTTTTGATGGGTACGCAATTAGTTGGTATTCAGACCGACGGATACTTGCGGTTGATGTCGGTTTCTCTTATCAGAAAGTAGTTAAACAGAGCATTTTCTGAGCAATTGTCCCGCCTGTGTCAAGGCACTTACTGTAACTTTGCTTTCCATGACCTGTGTGCTCTTGATATTTTTCCTTTTGACTTCTAGACATTGATGCATATTATTTGCCAATATTGCTGCCGATCCCATCTTTTCTTTTTATTCAACCTGTATCATTTGAGCATGTGTTTGGTATTCTTCCTCAACTCTCAGTCCATTTAGTTTATATGTTTGTTTCATGTCAGATTCGACCTTTGTTTGAGGAACAAGGACGAGTACTCGAGGTTGCTTTCATCAGAGATAAGAGAACGGGGCAACAACAAGGTATGTATTGTTAGAATTTGTTTCAAATTTGCTTTTGGATCTACACATGTCTCTTTTCAGGACCTTTGAGGGCCGAAGGAGCAGTATAAGCTCATGTTTGATGTCAGTTAGTTTTCCACAATTGTCTGGATGCCTGGTATTGATTGCAACTGTCTTTTGCGTTCATCCTGTCAACCAAGCAGAAGACAAGAATAAAACTTGTGAATCAACCTTTCTGTGGCAGTAGACAATAGTGAAGAGAGGTTCTTATTTTGTACAACAGGTGTCAGTTGGACAAATTAGAGAGTTTGATTATTGTATTAGGTTATGTGAGTGTAACTGTCTGCTGTGTTTAGCTTTGTGGAATCTCTGGATGTACAGCACTTGAAATGACTGACATTTGGATTATTTCCAAGTGATGTGACCAACTTCTATTGCATTGGAGTAGTAATATGATTTCTTCAGTAGTTGATGTGGAAATTGGTCATGGTGGTGCTTGCTTGTCTCTACAGTAATTTAATTTGGAATGTTTTGTGGATGTGAAGTTGGATCATGAAATAGAGATGGTAGTTGACGAGTCCAACTGGATGTTTACCAAATCTCCTTTAGAAGTGATGTGACAAGATTGCCAACTATTTGTTGGTAAATTGTCCTACTAATTAGCAGTGCAATATCATCTATTTTTCACTTTCGGCAAGTGACTGACTTATTGGAGCTTTTCCGATCTCATCTGAAGCTTATCTTTTCACCATGGTTGATGTATGACAGCGAACTACAGAGTAAATAAATTGGCTCTTTCATTAGAGTGCTTTGTCTGACAGGCTGCTAGATGCTGATTTGAGATAATAGTGAAATCGTCCTATATGCAATGTGTATTTAGACGTTTGTGTTCTTTCTTCTTCATTCATATCCTGGTCAAGAAAGGGTATGGTTGATTATAAATCCATACCCTTGCTTTAGTTAACAACTCCTCGACATGTGTGTGCGCTTAACATTTGCAATGTGCGGTACGTGGTTAATGACTACTGATATTGGATATGTATGCCTGGTGGTAGATGCGTGGCTGCCGTAGCATTGCCATTTTTTATTTTCTGGTGCAATGTTGTATATTTGAATTTATCCCCAGTTTTTTTCAAATATTTACCAGGATGGATGTGATGTCTAGCGTATTAATATTCTATCTTCAGTTCATTATGTGTGCTTATTGGAGAATTGTGAGTTATATGCAATTTTTACCCCGTTGTGAGTGAACTCTTCAGTGAATGCTTCTTAGTGTTTGTTTGATGATGTTCTCGCGTGAATGAGGTTCTTGTGATAATGGTTCACTAGATGGCATTTTAATTTTTTTGGAAGTGATTATTATTTAATAGAATCCTTTTGGTGTGGTTGGTTTTGAGATTTGGCCTCACGGTCAACAATAGTTGTCAGAAGTGATGGTGGTTGTTCAATGATAAAATGCATGCGAGCGTCGTATGCCACGTGTAAATTCTAGATTTTCTTCCATTACAGGATTGTACACCCTTATAGAACAATAGGGTTGTACAAACTGCTTTTGCAGTGTGGTGGCATGGTTGATATATGATTTAAGTACCTTTTTATGGATATGGATGCGTAATTTTCTTGATGAAGTTCATCATCAATACAACTTGCTTTAGCAATTTCCTATGTGATGCACTAGTTTATCCGTGGTCTGCTTCGTTCTCAAGTGTGGTTGGATGTATATTAATTGCGATCTCCAAGGGAAAAGGCCTCTATTATTCTTTTCCATTACCAAAACCCATGGGGTTGCATAGAGTATGGCTTCATTGAGTTCTATCAAAACAACAGATTATTCTGGCTGCATGGGACAGCCATATCCTGTTGTATAAACATCGGTAGTAGGTGTATGATTTGGACCCTGAGAGTTGTTAGATGTCAATTCTGCCAATATATCATCACTATGCCTGCCTCAAAAGGTGGCTAGAGTTAATTTGACAGAGCAGTTGCATCAATGACGTGGTTGGTCAAATCTGCATTGCATGAGAACAGTTTCACCACTAAAGACTCCAGGGACTGTTTAGAAACTGTATTAGGAAAAGAGTAATAGTGATATGGAAGGTGTTTGATGCCTGTCAATCTGAATAAAATCAGGGAAGTACTAGTTTTTAATTTAAGGTATCTTACAGTTAAAGTGGTGCCTAAGAGTTAATGTGGTTTCCCTTTTGAATATGTTGCCAAGTTGCTTCACATCTGAGTTAGGGAACTGATTTTCAGTGATGGGGTTCTCGCCTTGGTTTCTCTTCATGTTTTGCATCTTTAAGTTACTTTCATTGTCTGCCTCTTGGGCTTTGATGCGGTTCCAAATTTCTGGCTATTATTCACTTCTTTATAGATGTTTGTTCTTCATCAGGCTATGAATGTTATTTGATTGAATGGTTTTGGCGATATATTGCATACTTTGTCCTGATATATGCATTCTTTGATTGTACTACATATTTTACTGGTGTTGTATGGTTAGCTTCATTCATGTTGTCCGATTAAGTGGAAGAACGCCCGCTTGGAGCATTTTGATTTATACTAATTTTGTGCTATGTAATTTTTTGATTATCAAATGATGTCCTCAGTTACAAGAGTTATTCTGTTTCTCCATCTTAGTTATTAATTTTGTAGTTCTGAGATGTCACTTGTTCTTTTGTTGCAACCTTAAGCACCCTTATTTTATTTCGATCTTAATGTTTTTATGAAGTGATGTTCAGAGATATAAAGAAAATTACAAGTTTCAGTGCCATGGTTAATCAATAGCTCTATCGATCTACAGAGTGTATTTGGTTATTTTAACTTCTCAAATGTTTTGGGAGAATAACGCGTTTTCACTTCTCCTCTTCTACAATTTAGTCTTTGTGTGATGAACTGAAAGAAAAGAATGCCCGAACAATGTTACGATGGCAGGATATATTATTCCCTCAAGTCTTTGGTTTAAATAAAATCAAGGGATTACCTCCACCTAGCATCCAATGTCTGGATGCTCCTCTTAGACTGGCCATACAGGAGGTGCCATAGCTTTAAACTTTTTTTTTGAGGTGACAATTGTTGACTTTTTTATTGCCAAGCGAGGATTCCATTTGCCTTCGACCTGATTTTCCGAAATGGGATTCTGGGAAGGTTGAGTTCAGTAACTCAGTTCAGTGACCAAGAGGTTGAGAGGAAGAGGTACTATAATGATTGTCTTCGGAATAGTCAAATATTGTAAAGCCATAGGGCTTCAAATGGTCTTATATGGGGGTTTAGGAAGTGAATGACTTTGATTGGATCTCATATCTACGGAAAGAGATTCCTACTCATTTGGGTGGTGTGTTTTGCTGACTTACCAGAGCAGCATGTATGCCTCACTGTTGATGGGATGAATGAATCTCATATATGCGTGTTCAAGCCCGGCACCTTCTGGGCTTATAACTGGCCTATTACTTTTGCTTATCACCAAGAAAAGATGACTTGATGTGGTGAACTTTCTCCCCATGATTATATTAGTCCTTATTACCCCTTTCCTATCCCTTAAGCTCCCATTAGGTGTACTTCTAGTGTATCATGCTGCTGAATGATGTACTCTTCTTTGCTGGTGTGTACTTGCTGGTGAAGGTTGTGGAATTTGATAAAATCAGGATGTAAATTTTTGACTTCTGCAGGATGTTGTTTTATTAAGTATGCTACATCAGCTGAAGCTGATAGAGCTATAAGAGCATTACACAATCAATATACTTTGCCTGGGGTAAATTCTTCTACTGAGTTACTTTAAGATTCTTGACTCGGTTTTCAGTTCTTAATTCATCTGTGTATTTACCAGGGAATTGGTCCTATTCAAGTCAGATATGCGGATGGTGAACGTGAACGCCTTGGTAAACTTTTTTCTCTTTCTTTTTATTGAGTTACCTCAGCTTTTTATTTCATATAGTATTTTGTTTGAGTTGGTTGAAAAGGGACTTTATCTGTGCTTGTTAGTTTGTTACTCATTTTGATTCTTATCTGTTGGTAGGTGCAGTTGAGTACAAGTTATTTGTTGGGTCACTGAACAAACAAGCTACAGAGAAGGAAGTTGAAGAAGTATGGCCATGCATTACCTAGATATTCTTTCTTTTCCATGTTTCTTTTTATGATTGATAATTCAACTCTTGCATAACTATCTATTAATGCTCATAAGGACTCAACAAGTCGAAACTCGTGTCTTGTATCTTCAAATCCCTAAATAATTTTCATTACATGCATCGATATTATATTAAAAGCTCGAAGCCCCTTAGGGAAATATCGTTCGCCTTTTATATTCTTTAAAATTTGATTTCACACTAGTTAAAATAGTCATTTAGTTAATTTCTAATATGTAGGAATAGATAATTAATTATTTTCCTAACAACAACAACAACAACAACAGACCCACTGTAATCCCATAAGTGGGGTCTGGGGAGGGTAGTATGTACGTAGACCTTACCCTTATCTTTAATAAGGCAGAGAGTCTGTTTCTGGAAGACCCTCAGCTCAATATTTAATTATTTTTCTAATATTTAGAAATAGACATTTAATAATTTTTCTAATATTTAGGAATCTGATACAACAACAACAACGACCCAGTAAAATTTCACAAGTGGGGTTTGGGGAGGGTAGTGTGCACGCAGACCTTGGCTCTACCCCGAGGGGTAGAGAGGCTGTTTCCGATAGACCCTCGGCTCAAGAGAACGAAAAGAGATAATATATCAGTACCATCAACAAAAAATCATAGAAATAATAACATCACAAGAACCAGTAAATAGATGGAAAGCAGAAATAATAACTAGTAAATAAGGCCCGACACTATGAAAACGGAAGAGTAGTGTAAACACAACATTGACCACTAGCAGTCTAAGACTAAATCCTATCAGCCTAGCCTCACACTGGTAGACTAAATATGCTCAACTACCTCCTAACCTACAACCTTAATGCTTGACCTCCACCGCTTCCTATCGAGTGCCATGTCCTCGGAGATCTGGAGCCTCGCCATATCCCGCCTGATCACCGCTCCCCAATACTTCTTAGGCCGCCCTCTACCTCTCCTCGTACCCACCAACGCCAACCGCTCGCACCTCCTTATCGGGGCATCCAAGCTTCTCCTCTGTACGTGCCCGAACCATCTGAGCCTCGCTTCCCGCATCTTGTCATCAATGGGAGCCACGCCCACCTTCTCCCGAATATCTTCATTCCTAATCTTATCCGAGTGTGCCTGCACATCCACCTCAACATTCTCATTTCTGCTACTTTCATTTTTTAGGAATCTGAAGTCAACTAAAATTTTAGTGATTAAATCTTTTCTTATTTGAACTATATAGGAAGTACGAATATATAGGACTTTAAAATCAACTGAATAAAGCTATTTTAGTAATGTAGATATCAATATTTTAATGTATGGGGATAAAATTTACATACTCAACACTAATGTAATTGATTATAATTATATCACATTTAATGTTGAAAACATAGAGGACATAATGCATTAGACTGAAAAGTTTTATTAGAGAAAGGATTTTACCGAGATAAAGTTGAGGAGTGTATAAATTGGAGTCAACAAGCTCTTAAGTGTAACATAGACAAGATACTGAAATTTATGTATCAAATTAATAGTAACTAATCGTTCATATCTTTTTATAAGAAATTTAAGGTAGTTATGAGTCTATAACTTTGAACATATTTCTGTTTATATCTAATTATAAGTATTTATTCAATCAGTTATAAGTGATTTTTTATAAAAGTGCAGTTGGATAATAAAGAAAAAGAAGAAGACAATAAGTAGGAAATTCTGAACTATTATTGTAGAGCTTAATGCTTAGGTTTCTTATACAATTGACATATGTAGTAATTGTGAGATGAGGTGCACATACATAAAGTATGTTTAGAAATAGTATTTTTTTTGAACAACAAGAAGTGTCCTAGGGTAATAAGAAAAAGAAAAAGACATTAAATAGGAAATTCACTTTTACATTGTTGAAGACATAATTAAGTAAATAAAAGTGTGTTCTCTCTAACAACTTAAACTTCTATATGAGATGGTCACGCACTTCAACATGGTACTAGAGCAGGCAGAGGCCCCCGGTTTGAGTCTCACCGTTACCTAATATCAAAAAGAATTTCCACGTGCTTGGTTCATAAAAAAGAATCAAGCCCGCACGCGAGGAGGCGTGCTAAAGACATAATTAAGTAAATAAAAGTGTATTCTTTCTAACAGCTTAAACTTTTAGATGAGATGGTCACACACTTTAACAAACATCAAGTGTAAATAAAGACATTAATTCATGGACACTTTCTTTTAGTTTTTTTGGTTGATTAATGCGTTTAATCTACTTAATTTGTTTGTTGGTAGACTTCATATTCAAGTTAGAATTTTAAAATTAAAACCAATTAGGAGGAGCTGGACATTTTGTAGAAGCTCAAATTACTATTTCAAATTCTTTATAATATTGTGACAGGAAAAAACTCTAAGAGAGACTTCTGATTTGAGAAATTATTTCTAACCTTTAGGCATGAAAAAAAAAACAACTAACATAATTTTTATATCATATTGCAACGAATGCCTTTTCACCATTCCCTTTTTAAGACTTTAATCATAACTTAGAATTAAAAATAATGAAAAAGATGATTTCTTATAAAGTTAAAACTTATCAAGAAGTGAAGAAAAATATAAGGATTAGTTTAAAAAAACAACAGCTCCCAAAAAGGTAGAGAACAAATTACAATTTTCTTTGCTAAATATCTATAACTAATAGCCTGGTTGGCCAAGCTTCTCCAATCCTAGAAGCACGCGCTTTTTTTTCAAAGTTGAAGTGTTTGGCCAAGCTTTTGGAAGAAAAAAAAAGTGTTTTTGAGAAGCAGAAGCAGAGAAGCAGAAAAAAGTAGTTTCTCTCCGACAACACTTTTTTGAAAAGCACTTTTGAGAAAAATACACTTAGAAGCAGTTTTTAAAAGCTTGGCCAAACACTAATTGCTGCTCAGAAGTGCTTTTCAAATTAATTAGCCAAACACAAACTGTTTCTCACCAAAAGTACTTTTGAAAAAAGCACTTTTGAGAAAAATACACTTAGAAGCAGTTTTTAAAAGCTTGGCCAAACACTAATTGCTGCTCAGAAGTGCTTTTCAAATTAATTAGCCAAACACAAACTGTTTCTCACCAAAAGTACTTTTGAAAAAAGCACTTTTGAGAAAAAACACTTCTCAAAATGAGCTGATTTTTGCAGCTTGGCCAAACAGGCTATAAAAATACTATATGTAACTAACAAAACTAAATTATTCATCTTTGCAGGTTCAAAAGATATTGAATTATTTTGAATTCAACTATGCATTAATGCACTAATACTCATATCTGTTATTTAAATAAATAATGTTGCATCTATTTCAAAGGCCAATTATTGTACGTAAATCATTCTTCTTATATACAACTCTTTAGTTATTGACGCGACATATACGTGCAACACATGTACTCTAAAACTAGTAGACGTAAATGTCTTTGTTGCTTGATTATAGTTGTGATTTCCCACCAGTGAAGTACTGGAGAACTTTTCATCTGGGTGATGCACATGTAACTGCATCATGTCATGACACAAGATACACAGCTTGTTCTTGTTAACCTATTTGGCTTGGAATAGTGAAATGCTGAGGATTTTCTGAATGATTTGCTTTTATTATGTGCTTGTTGTGTATTGTATTTATTATCTATTGAAAAGCAGCTATAATTAAATAGTTGTTTTGGATTCTTTTCAGATATTTTCGCCATATGGTCGTGTTGAAGATGTCTATCTCATGCGTGATGATATGAAGCAGAGTCGTGGTTTGTGTTATCGAGTCCTTTTTTATCTGTATGGAATGCTCACCTTGTCCTGTGCTTGCTATGCATGATTAGACCAAGTTTCTTTTCCATGATAGTGCGTAAAGGTTTTGAACTCCATACTTATGGCTTTATGCTATTGTTGATCTACTCGTTTGGTTGCTTTGGAGCTATGAGGATTTGCCTATAAGCTCATCCTTTTTCAGATGTCTAGTATTTTATTTATCTTGAACAATAGATTAAATGGTTTGTCATGTTAACCTGTCTTGACACTTCATTTTTCAATATTCTGTTAGATAGCACTACCCCCTCCTTTCTTCATAGATTATTAGCCCCGGGACACTTATACCAAAGCTTAGTTTGCAATTTTCATGAAATCTATTTTTCAACTTCAAACTTGCAAGTTGAGGCTCCATAAATCTGTAGCCAGAAAAATAAGTTTTTTTTTTCTTTTTCTAGAAAGTATTTTCTTATCTTAAATTTTGTATTGAACAAGAAAGGAATTTCCTTTGTGTATGCGTGCCTCAAAAGACATGGTCCTTTGTTTTTCTCTAATATAATCCCTCCGTCTCAAAAAGAATGAACCTATTACTATTTGGGGGAGTCAAACAAGGTTTTCCTTGACCATATTTTTTGCAAATGGTTTTTAAATACTTTGAATTGTTAACTATTGTGACTTATAGTATGTTTTATGTAGTTTCTAAATATGTAAATTTTATTTCAAAAAACTTAAAGAATCTATGTCCAAATTTACACCGAAAATTAGTCATTTGACCCTCGTACTTGGAAAAGGTTCAAACAAATTGAAACAAAGGGAGTAATAGTGTAAGCAAAATTAGATATGACCTTGCTGAGGGGAAAATATAATCTTAGCTTTCCCATCTTCCTGGTTTGTTCTTTTAATGAATTCTGGTTAAGTGCTGGATTACTTGCATCGAAGGATACTGAACATTGTCAACAGTAATTCAAGCATGAAGTTTTGGGGTTTTTTGTTGGTAGTTTGTATGCACCCTCGCTAATTTAACTTTTAACCACTGTGAAGGTTGTGGATTTGTCAAATATTCTCATAAACATATGGCAATGGCAGCTATAAACTCTTTGAGTGGAAAATATACAATGAGGGTAAGCTTGTGATGTTAATGTATGTCTTTGTGATTTGACACCATTATTAAACCCTTTTATCAATTTTTAATCGCCTTTATAACTGCAGGGGTGTGATCAACCTTTAACTGTTCGGTTTGCTGACCCTAAGAGACCTAAACCTGGAGAACCTAGGTATTCCATGAAATACCAATGTGCTTTATCTTACGAAAAAAAATGTTCCGGAGCAGGCTTGCTTGAACCAGTGCAGTTGTTGTTTTCTTCTAATTGGTTATAGTTTGCTTTATCACTCTGTTTCACTCCTTTCAGAGGTGGTGGACCAGCTTTTGGTGGACCTGGTTTTGGACCTCGCTTCCCAACCCCTGGAATTAGGTATTAGTTAAGTTTTTGCATTTGCAACTGAGGTTTTCCCGAAATAGAACTCAGAGACCCTCTCTTCGTTTTCTCTGATATGTAGACCGCCACCTAATATTGGAGAGCCTTTGCAAGACCAAACAGGCCCTAATGCCTGGCATCCCATGAGTCCAGAAAGTCTCAGGCCAATTTCCAACCAAGGGATGCATGGTTTTGGAAATCAGTTTCCTCCTAGAACCACTGATACCACAGCGCCGTCTTCATTGGTAAGAAAAACAGCGGTGAATCCTCTGTTGCCGTCAGATAAACTGTTTATGAGGGGAAACTGCAATCTTTATTAAAAGTTTGCAGTGTTGCAATATGTTGATTTAATTATTTGCTTGTCTTTTTCTGTGCTCTAGCATTCATATGAAATCAAGTCTTAAGCTGTATAATAGATTCGGGTATGATTTAGTAAATGTGCATCCTCTGTGTATGTTGGTCAATTGTTGCCAGAGAGAAGCAAGCCAGTTCTTTGACTTATATTTGTGCCTGCAAAAATATGTCTTGTTAGGTTGGAATTAGGAGAAACACATGAGGTATAATGAAATGTTGTGGAATACTATAATTGGCTTACACCATCTGTTTCCTTCCGATTCCTGGGAAACTGAATTTAATGTCATTACCATTTCGTGCTATGGTCATATTACTAGAACCGATTCTTAGACCTGTAATATATGCCTGAATGTTGTTAGTGCATGGATTCATCTGCTGATACATGTTTTCTTATTTCATCATTCATTGCCTTTAATAGCATCTATTCTGGGTCAAATTTCTTTGGGTGATTTCTGGTTTCTTTTATGAGGGAATTTCATTACCTCTCCTTGTAACATTAATTGCTTCTTTACATCACTCCTTTTCTTCTGTAGAAGCCGATTAATAGAACAGCGGCATGTAGTAATCATGGCTCTGTGAGTCATTTGGATGACTCTGTGATTAATTCCTTGTCTCTCTTATCAGTTCTTAGACTTCACTGTCAAATTTTTGGCGTTGCTTGATTCATCAAATTTATAGAGTCGCTCTTTATAATTCAGGTTTTGTGATTTAATCTGAATGATTTTTCTGATCTTCTAATAGACACGGAGCTAAAGCGGCATCAGTATGATACTTTATTCTAGGCATAATTCGAGTAGACGAGCTTCTATATGGTTGTGACCTTTGGCGGTATCACAAATTCTTAATTGGACCACTGTATGAGTGACTACAACTTTTTCTAGATGCAATTTCCAGAAGATATTGACCCCAACTAAATTTTGTTTAGGAGTAGTAGATTGAATGTCAATAAGATGCTGTAGCCTGTGGGCTTATTCTCTCAATCTGTATATACATTATACACTTTTATTTGTTTATATGTATAGAAACATGTGTTGTATCACTTTGCTGCTTCATTAAAACATTATAATGCTGCCTGCACAAACTTTTAGGGTGGTTCCTTCGGGAGTGTTAGTGGCACTGGAAATGGGTTTCTTACAGGACTTGCGGCTTCTTCTGCTCCTACATCGCAACTGGTATGTATTCATAGAAACTTGCTTAATGTTATTTCAATCTTAGGAATGATTTCTGTCTGTTATTTTGTGCTAAGTTGTTTCTTTTGTTGGCAAGTCTGCTAAACTACTCCCCACTGGTGGCCCACAAATTTCTCAACTACAGAAGCCACTTCAGTCACCCCAGCATTTACCATCTGCTGGGCAACTTCAGCCTCCAGCCTCAACACCTTCTTCACAGGGACCAACGTCTCATGCTTTATTCGGGCAGATGAATCAAGTACAAATGTCCCAGTCTGCCAGTCAAAGTCCTTTCAGTCAGGGAATGCCCTCGCAGCAGTCGCTTGGTTTGACTTGGCAATCAACTGTTTCTCAGCCTCAGATGCAGCGCAATATGTCATCTGCAATGGGACATACACCTTTAAGTAATAACATGCAACTACATGTTGCATCTGCAATCGCAAACCAGCAGTCTGTGCCACAGCATTTGGTCCAACATCTTCATCAGCCACCTTCCCAACTAGCACAAATGTTGTCTCAACAGACGCAAAATCTGCAGGCGAGCTTTCAATCATCACAGCAAACCTTTACTCAGCTACAGCAACAATTGCAGCTCATGCAACCATCTAATGGAAGCTCAGCAGTCCTGCAGGGCACACAAGATGTTAAACAACAGGTACACTTAAAAAATTTTCATAATAGAATTTCTTGAAACTCAAGATCTTGCAATTCTCAGGTTTTTCTTGTTGAAAATAATTTCTGTGATACTTGAATGATACATGGTCTTTACTGACCATTGCTCTCTTTAAACTTGTATGTTCTAAGGCCCAATATGTGCTCTGTTTCATCCAATTCTGGTTGGGGCTCACTTTTGTTTTTCCCTCACCATACTATAACTATTTCAAGAATATACGAGTATTGGGTGTAAATGTTACTGTGCAAATTGAGGTCAGTTGCTCACAATGTATATTATCATGCAGTCTCCATGGCCTGGACTTGTTCAACAAGCGGTACCTAGTTCCACAGCTGCCCAACCAAAAGCAGATGCACTTCCTGCTTCATCTACTGCATCTGGAATGAACCAGATTACAGGTCCGGTGAAATGTAATTGGACAGAGCACACATCGCCTGATGGATTCAATTACTATTATGACAGTATTACGGGAGAAAGCAGGGTACACATCTGCTATTCTGCCTTCTGGTTGAAGTTCTAATTTCTTAGGCCACCTAATAATGCGTTGTTTTCGAAATTTAGTGGGAAAAGCCAGAGGAGCTGATATCATATGAACAGCAACAGCAAAAATTGTCTGCCCAACAGCCTCGCATTCAGGCTCAACCACATGGGTTGCCTTACCAACAAGCTCAAATGCAAGCACAACTTCAATGTCAGCTCCCACCATATGTCCAAACACAGGTCCGCCCTCCTCAACAAATGCAACAAGCTTCTCAAGGATCTCTGGTTAGCATTTAACCCATACTAATTCATAGGACTTGAATTTCAGTGGATTTTTATTATTTGGTTTTGATTTTCCAGTACGCAGTTGGAATGACAGGTCAACAACCGATTCAGGTACCATTATGCTCTTTCGTTGTTGCTCTGATCATATCTTTTTAATTCTTGGTAAATCATTCACTAAACTGTAGAAATATTGCCCTTTATATTCCCAGTAAAATATTTGCCNCGTTGTTGCTCTGATCATATCTTTTTAAATTCTTTGTAAATCATTCACTAAACTGTAGAAATATTGCCCTTTATATTTCCAGTAAAATATTTGCCTGGCTGGTGAAGTAGAATTTGTATCTTGTGATGTACAATATCAACTTCAGAGCTGAGGGTCAATCGGAAAAAGCCTCTCTACCTTCACAAGGTAGAGGTAAGGTCTGCGTATGCACTACCCTCCCTAGACCCCACTTTGTGGGACTACACCGGGTCTATTGTTGATGTGCAGTATCAACTTCTAAGCCATATCTTACCATCTAGGCTATTCAATTTGACTCGTAATGAAGGTTTAGAAAAAGTAGAAATATCTTGAACGTAGCCTGTGCTAATGAAATCATCTATGTGCTTGTGTTGTTCTGCTAATACCTGCTTTCTGCATTATTTTTTGTGCTGAAGCTGAGAGGTTTCTCCCTGGTATGGCTTCTACAGTCCCTAACCACAGTACTTGGCAAAACCTGTGACCATATTTCTCCCCTCACCACAGCTAATTGCAGAGAAGGGAGAAGATGAAAAGTTTTTCCTGTTTGAATGTGTTTTTCCCGACTCTAAGTACTCCATTCTGAATTTGGCTATGTTTTCTTTTGTCTGGTGCCATGCTTCAGTTAACATTCAACTAACAGTATGGACACAATTTTCAGTTGAATTAGCAAAATAGTGGCTGGCTATAGCTATAGAATTCCCTTTTCATCTTCCCATAGATGCACTGCTTTTTGGGTAAAAAATGCAATCACTGATGTGTGTTTTCTCATAAATCCCTAATCGGCTTTTTCATAAAGACAGTTGTTGGGTGCAACCAATGTTCTACTGTGGTCACAGAAACCTGTAAGCTCCAATTGAGCCAGAAGGGCTGTTTCAGTATCCTGCTTTACGTTCTCTATAATCCAACTTTCTGCTATATGTTAAACTTGTGTGCTTTTATATTCGCCAAAAGATCTTCAATGATGTAGCATGTATCTGGTGTTTGTTATCGTCGACAAATATATAAAAATTTATTTGGCGCGAGCAACGCATATCTGCAGTAAGGAACGAGTTACTTGATTAAAGGGTTCTCAACTATTTCGTAATGTGCTGATTACAGTGTGTAGTTCTCTAATGAATAGAATTGAGGACTATTCAGTTAGTGTAACGGGTGACGAACATGTTCGTAGAGCATTTGATTGCCATATCCTCTCATCTTCTTACCTCTTCGCAGGGGATTCAGGCTGCTCAGGAGTGGATGTGGAAAAACAAGCCCGCAGGTCTCTTCCTTTCTTTCGATTACAGATTTTATTGAGTTGGTCAAAAATAAAGTCCAATGATACCATCTTGCAACCCTTCTGTTTTGCTGTGGTTGGTGTTTGAGCAAATAACATTCTAGAAGTTGGGCTTATTCATCAGCTG